CAGTCAGCTATTATCAGCGGCTGCTGCCCAACCTGTCTACCGTGCTAGCGCCGCTCTACGCGCTACTGAAGACGGGCGTCAAATGGGCATGGACGGCGGAGTGCGCCGCGGCAGTGCGCCGTGTGAAGGACATGCTGTCCACGGCGCCGGTCCTGATGCGGTACGACCCCGTGCTGCCGCTGCGGCTCGTCACGGACGCCAGTGCGACAGGAGTCGGAGCGGCTCTGATGCAAGTGACGCCCGAGGGGCTCGAGAGGCCGGTACAGTACGCCTCCCGAACGCTCACTCCGACGGAGAGGAAGTACGCCCAAGTGGAGAGGGAAGCCGCAGCCGTCTCGTTCGGAGTGCGGCGGTTCCACCAGTTCCTGTTTGGTCGGCCGTTCACCCTGGTGGTCGACAACAGGACGCTCTCCAGGATCCTAAACCCGGACCGTGAGCTGCCATCTCTGGCGGCGGCTCGCATGCAAAGGTATGCGCTGCAGCTCGCGGCGTATCAGTACAAGATCGAGCTGCGCCGGACGGAGGACATGAGGCTGGCGGACACGATGTCCCGTCTGTCGGTGCCGGACGAGGCGGAGAACCGGCTGTCGGCAGAAGAGGAGGCGGCGTACGGCGGAGGCGGCGTAATGTTCATCGCCGAGCAGGGGCCGTGTCTGACCGCGCAGCAGATAGCAGTGGCCACGCGCCGAGACCCGGCGCTCGCCCGCGCTCTGGCGGCGGTGCGATCGGGCTGGCCGGCGGTGGTGGACCCGGACCTGGCTCCCTTCAAGAATCGCCGAGAGGAGCTGACGACTGAGGCCGACTGTCTGCTCTGGGGCGGCCGAGTCGTCATCCCGAGCAGCCTGCGCGACACCGTCAAGCGGGAGCTGCATGAGGGTCACTTCGGCTGCACTCGCATGAAGCAGCTGGCGAGGCGCTTTGTGTGGTGGCCGGGACTCGATGCTGAGCTGGAGGCGCTGGCTCGCGGGTGTCAGGCGTGCGTCTCAAAGCGAGCTGAGCCGCCGCAGGCGACACGGCACCCGTGGGAGCCGACGGACGGCCCGTGGCAGCGGGTGCATGCCGATTTTGCCGGACCTCTGAAGGGCACCTGGTTCCTGGTGATGGTGGATAGTTTCTCCAAGTGGGCTGAAATGATCCCAATGAAGACGACCACGTCCGAGCGGACCGTAGCGGTGATGAGGACGGTTTTTGCTCGTCTCGGACTACCACTGGTGCTGGTAACGGACAATGGCCCACAGTTCACGAGCCAGGAATTCGCCCAGTTCGCCAGCTCTAACGGGATCCGACATGTCAGAGTGGCGCCCCATCACCCATCGTCTAATGGGATGGCGGAGCGAGCGGTCGGCTCGCTAAAAAACTCACTGAAGGCGACTCTGGCAGCAGACGACAGCGGAGGCATGGAACTGGCGCTCGCCCGAGTTCTGATGGCGTACAGAGTGACGCCCCACGCCGCGACCGCACGGACTCCCGCTGAGATGCTGTTCGGGCGGAACCTCCGCACTCGTATGAACCTCATGGTTCCGAGCGCCGAGACAGCTCTGCAGGCGGCTCGGGACCGGCAGCGTGAGACGGCCGGCGGACGGAGCAGGGAATTCGCCGTGGGAGCTACAGTGTGGGCCCGCTCGTATGACGGTCGTCAGAAGTGGGTCCGCGGCACGGTGGTCGCCCGCCCCGGTCCCGTGTCGTATGAAGTGGACGTGGGACACGTGATCTGGTCGCGCCACGTTGACCAGCTGTTGGCGGCGGCGGCGGACCCAGGGAACAGCGTCGGCGGTGACGTCAGAGCGGCCACCGGCGGTAGTGTCCGAGCGGCGACCAGTGGTGACGTCAGAGCGACGACCGGCGGTGACGTCAGAGCGACGACCGGCGGTGACGTCAGAGCGACGACCGGCGGTGACGTCAGAGCGACGACCGGCGGTGACGTCAGAGCGACGACCGGCGGTGACCGGGCTGGTGGCGCCGGCGGCAGCGCCGGGCGCCCTGTCGGAGACGATCGCGCCAATGGCCTCGGTGACGGCAGCCGCGCCGGCGTCGCCGGTCAGGCCTGTGACCGGGGAGCAGTCGGCCTCGGCCGTGCCGGTGATCTCGGCGGCGGCGGGGATGCCGGTGACCCCGGTGGCTACGGCCGTGCTGGTGACCCCGGCGGCGGCGGTAGTGCCGGTGACCTCAGCGGCGGCGGTGATGCCGTCAGCAGCGGCGGTAGTGCCGGTGACCTCGGCGGCGGCGGTGATACCGGTGACCTCAGCGGCTACAGTCACACCGGCGGTGGCGGTGACGGCGGCGGCAGGGGCGGCGGGGACACTGAGGGCCCCTCGCAACGCCGTTCCGCTCGGCGCCGGAGGTGCCCGAGGCGACTGATCGCCGAGGTTTAAAATGTGTTTGTTTCCACGTTCCGACGCGTAATGTGTTTGTTTCCACGTTCCGACGCGTAATGTGTTTGTTTCCACGTTCCGGTTTAAAATGTGTTCCGTTTTAAGGGCGGCAGGTCAAAGTGAATGTGTTCCGTTTTAAGGGCGGCAGGGTGTGGTGTCGCGAGCTGCTCCCCCCCTGCCCCGGGGCCTGGCGACGCCAGTTGCTCCCCCCTGCCTGGGGGCCTGGCGACGCCATTGGCGGCGCCGGCGCGCAGACGCGGGGTTCGAGAGCAGTCGGCCGCCGGCCCGCGCGGAGCGCGGTTGTGGTAGTAGCGATCGGTGTTTGGCGCTCTAGGAAGTTTAACGCAATGCGGCTTTGGTTGTGAATAAAGAGCTCACGTTATAACATGTACCTTATGCATTACCTTTCTTTTCTGCAGGACCATGCTTCCGCTGGGTGGTCGACATTTGCCTCCTGAAGAAGTTGAGCAACATGAAGACCACCAGATGAGGTGTCTGCAGTTCATGTGGAACTCTGCAGACTACAAGTGTTATGCCAACCAAAACCAAAGTGCTGTGATCATGGAGGCATGAACCTCATGACAACACTTCAGATTTGCAGTTGAACCAAAGTGTGATTCAAACCACCTGTGGCATCTCACTCAATGTGTGAACAGTGTGATTATTGTGCAGTGTTCAGCTGCAACTAAGACATTTATTAGTGACTTGTTTTGCAATTAGCCACCAAAAGCATTTTTTGGGCTGGCTGCTGTAATTTGTTGTGCACTGCGCAATAGTGGTAGTGTTTTGTCACTTGTCAAGTTGTCAGTTGTGCATGTTGCATGTTTCTCTTCCCTCGGCCCTCATTATCAGTTAAGTGGTGAATTGGCATCACTCAGTCTCCCCAGATCTCCATTGACTGTCTGTCAACCACCTAACTTGAGATGGTATTTGCTAATAGTGTCAGAAAAGAAGTGATTGTAGACATTTTTAGGAATATGAGCTCCGTTTCATGCGTGTTCCAGTGGTCATTTTGTCACATGTCCCATAGTGTAATAAATGGAAACTGTTGTTCCCTTTTGAAGGTACTCGCGGATGCAGAAAGCGTTGGGCCTAATTATTAAACGCACCCTCCTATCAGCGACGCACGAAATCGACAAATATCATCCTTTTTAGAACAGGAGGAAACGAAAACTTGTGAACATAGCTGTACCTACAACAGTGCATAAGGAATTGAAATTCTGGGAGTTTTTGAAATTCGGAGAAACTCAAGTTGTCGACAGGTATGCCCCCTTGCACGTCAAAGACCGCCTAAAAGACAAACGTCTACAAATGAAGGCAGTATTCGTATGTTCGTTGTAATTGCAGCAGCCTAGCAACATGTATTGCGGTCCGATGGCGAATTACACTCGTGCTCAAAAACTATGCCGGTAACTGCCAATGCACTTAGGTCATAGGTGAGGAGAGGAAGGGTTATGTCATATGTCATGTCAACATCATAGAAATGGCTTCATCTGAGCTGTGCCTATTGTACATAATTCAACCCATCTATGCATTTCGTTTCTTGCAATCTACTCATGCTTTCACTCCAGCTTCAGAGTAATCATCCCATATTGTACGTCTTAACCCTCGCCGGACCTATTGGTTTTCTACATACGCGCCGGCCGAGGGGGGGGGGGCGGGTACGACCCCCCCTCGCCGTTTCGCCCCTGGTGGAGCTAGCGCGTCGCGGAAAAAACGAGCGTGTGCGCCGTTACGAGACGCAGAGATTGGTACCCGATTTTAAGGTCCTAGGTCAACCGGTGACCTCTGAGATCAGGTCAAGTGCCCCAAGGTACGGTTCAGTTTTTGGTGAATAACTTCGCAAAAAACGGCCGCAGAGCGCCGATTTTGGCAGCATCGTGTTCGTCTCGCTCAGGCGCGTCGAATGATATACTTTTTGTCCGGGTCAGGTCAATTTGGGGTGTTGACCTCAGGTCAAGGTCAGGTCAGCACCCCCAGGTCACGAAGTTGGTCGAAAGAGGTCATGTCGCATATCATTCGATTCGGCAGGTCTTCCTGCGTCCATTGGTGGCTTTCCCGACTCGCTAGTTCAATTTGATCAAGAGTTATTGACGAAAAACTAATATGACCTTGATGACGTCATAAATGACGTCACGCAAGGTCAACATTGCAAAAGTGACGCATCTAACCTTGCAAGGAGTGCATCAAATCACGATTCTGTGTGCTTGAGATAGTTGGAGATCGTTCCCGGCGCCAGAATAGCAGTTTGAATTTTTCCCCATTGACTTATAATGGTGAGGTCACGAAAATGACCTGACCTCATATGACCTTTAGGAAAAATCCGAGATATACAAGTTGTAGGACTCATAATGGATACTAGATCCTGCAAGTTTCATTTCCCTGTGACATCTCCTCTGGCAGTGAGGGCGTTGCGAAGTTGCGACATCTGAAGACCGTGCAGAGGTTCACTTATGACGTCATAGGTCAGTGACCTGACCTGACCCAAAAATGCGGTTGGTGTCAAAAGATCCGGCTTGGATCAAAGGTCAGGTATGCCAAGTTTCAGCTCTCTATCGCCAGCGTGTTCGGAGCTATCGCGAAAAAACCCTATGGGGGGGGCGGCACCCGCCCCCCCCTCGGCCGGCGAGGGTTAAGATATTGATTTCTATGGCGGTTTGCAATTACTAGCCACGTCTCACCTCAGTTTGGTGGCCCCGCATCGGCCCACTCGGCCGCTCTAAAATTGACTTACGGAGGAGGATGGTGGCTTTTATTTTAGCTTCTCCGCCGACTGCGGGGAGCGCCGTCGCCGAGGTAGGAGCAATAATTAGCTTATGTTTGGGACTAATTTCCACGCTTAATTAACATTTTAATGTTATTTTAATTAATTCATGTTAATCTTTGACGCATTCTCTTTCTATTGATACCATCCACCGGTCTGAGAATTACTGCCTTGCTGCGTAAGGGCCGATAAAAGATCACGCTTTTAGGGGTATCTCTTCAACATGGGGCAGGAGCAATAAATAGAGCGCTCTAATTTTAGCTTATTTCCCTGGTATGTCACCAACTGAGGAGGTCAAGGTTCTCCAATTCGAATCTCTGACAAACTTTACAATGTATCAATATGCTCCAACCAAATTTCATCAATTTCATATGTCAAAGTAGAGGCAAATGGTAGGCACTAACAGGCAACAGCTGCTGAGTGCTGTGTGAGCTGTGGTTCGGGTTAGGCTTTTTCTGAAACAAATTTAATCAAGTCAAGCTGTTAATTGTCAGCGTTCTGCAACTTGAGGTGTAAATATTACAGAATTACAAATAAAAAAAGCCACCTTACTTGCTTTGCGATCATGTAATGAATTATTAAATTGTCTTGCTTTCTATAAAGTATGCATTCTGCATCAATAGTGACCTGGCAATGCTCAGACAGTCAACACTGACTTGACAGGTACACTATACAGGGGTTCTGCCACCTGGGGAGGGGAGAGTCTGTGGTCAGTGGTGGGGTCTGGACTGGACCCCCAATAATTTTGCTTCTGTAATGCAGCCTAATGTTATGTATGAGAGTGGGTACTCTCTTAGCAGACGTCACCCGAGCTGCCATATCTACGTCTCACGTGCGCAACAATTGTCTTTTCACGGTTAAATATATAACAAAACATAATCTAACCTGACCTAACCTTACCTACAACCTACAACCTACAACCTAACCTACCAGCCTACAACCTACAACCTAACCTACAAACCTACAACCTAACCTACAAACCTACAACCTAACCTACCTAACTGGATATGGCAGCTCGGGTGACGTCTGCTAAGAGAATACCTGAGAGTGTACATTTTGGGGTTGGACCCCCTGACCCCTAATACCTAGACAGTTGCAGAGCCCCTGCTCAGATGTGTTGCTTATTTGAATCTTAGTGCAGTCCTGCTGAAAATAGATTGATAAACAGCCAAAACAGGCCTCATTAATTGGTGTATATGATGATGCTGTCATGCTGAATTGCTCCAGTTATACCTACCTATGAAAACTGTTTCAAACTGGTGTCTCTACTTTGTAGGGCTCATTCATGATCTGAATGATATGTTCAGTATATACCTACTTAGCTGGTTCTCAATTCTCATTAGGCTCCATTAAGCTACAGTTCAGATCAGGTATCTGTTTCATAAAAAATTCCATTTTGTATAACTCACATTTTTAGGATAACAGATCCATTTCGTTAGGAAAAAAACTCCATTAAGTCTTCCATTTAACACTACTTACCTATGGCTATAACACTGGTTGTTTTTGTGTTTTTCAGATAATTCAAATTTTGATGGTCAAATTTTTACTTAAGGGACTGCATATGACAAGGGTTGGTGATGGACCATGACAGTTTGATTCAGTTGTTACCACAGCTCCTGAATAAGGGGGCTGTGAAACCTGCATCAAGTGATCCTAAACACACACAACAGTCAAACAACTGGTATGAAGAGCAGGCCAGTTCTGACCGAACCTCAAACCAGACTCAGTCTGATACAGACCAGTCATCGGAGACCGCCAGCTCAGATGAAGACGAATCCGAGGAAAGTGAACAACAGGCGAAGCAGCAAGAGAGACTTTCTCCCAAGCCTGTTGATTTGGATGAAATTGAAAAGTTCCTGGATGGTATTTCGAGGACCGCCACGCCAAGGCTCACTCAGGGGCGGCCCCGCGACATGGCGCATATCCTGCGCGAGGTCGACGAGCTGGGAAGGCGCACTCTCTCCTCCAGCTCCCTACCGGACCGCGATGGGGCGGGTCGACCGCCTCCTAGTCCGCGCCGGCCGCCGGAGGCATGCAGTCCGGCCACCCCCGTCCCCGCCTCCGGGGCCGCCTCAGAGTCCGCGCTGCTGAAGGAAGGGGAGTCGGCAAACCGACGTGTGCGTTTCTCTCGAACGCAAAAGGCTGTCGATAGGGACGAACCAACATCACTGGTGGCACGCAGCGGCGGCGGCGGAAAGCTCAGCGTGTCTGAGCCGGCGCTAGGCTACACTCTGCAGAGTTTGATGTCGGAGGAAAGGAAGAAGTATCTGAATCTCACAGCTGATATGATCTTGTTAAAACAGAGCAGCTTGGAAAGTGAGATACAAATGAAGACACAATGGGAAGAACACGTACGAGATCTCATGGCGGAGAATTCCTCGTTAAAGTTGCAACTTGAGGAGCTCCGCTCGCGACCGTCGCCGGACCTTCGTGGCAGTCTGAGCGAGCGTTCGCGAGTGAAGAACCTCGAACACCGAGTGGAGGAGCAGAACCGACTGCTGGACGGCTTCAACGCCGAGAACGCCCGGCTGTATCGCGAGCTCAAGCAGCTGAAGACAGAGCGCGCAGACCTGGAGACCGTGGTGGACGACCTGCAGTGTGAGCAGCGGCTGCTGCGGGCGCAGCTGCAGGCGGCGCAGCGGGCGGCACCTGCCGCCGCGCCGGTTGCCGGAGAACAGCGACACCAAGAGCAGCAGCTGCGCCGGCGCGAACTCGAGCTGGAACACCGCTGGCAGGAGGTGCAGCGTGCCGGCAACGAGGTGGCGCGTCTGCACGAGCTGGTCGCGCAACGCCAGGCTGCTCCGTGCGCCCGCTGCAGCAGCACGGTCACCGCCGGTGCTCCCAGACAGAGTGAGCGCACGGCTCGTCCTCAAGTGGCGACCGTCTCCTGTCAGACAGTCGCTCCCGCTTCGCCGACGCGCTCCCCCGCCGTCTCCCCAGCGCGCCCTCCGACCCGCTCCCCAGAGCACGTGGCAGCTGCAGCCACCGCAGAGCTCCGCTCGCTGCGCGCGGCGCTGGTCCAGGCGGAACAGCGTCTGGACCAGGAGATTCAGGCGGCCTCCATTCGCGAGGCTGACCTCCGGCGGGCCTGCGATGCCAAGGTTCGCGCTGCGGAGGGTCGTCTGCGGCGGCTGCAGGCGTCCAGCTCACCGAGCCGACCCGACCCGGAGCTGATGGCGGCTCTGCGCCGACTGAAGGCACAGCTGGCTGACAAGGAGCGCGCGCTGACGCAGAGCCGCCGTCAGCTGGAGAAGAGCCAGCGCACGGTGACCGGCCTGCAGCGCGAGCGGGAGAAGCTGCTGGTGTCGGTCGCGGCGGCTCGCAGCCCGGCCGAGCCGCGCTCGCGGAGAGGCAGCCCCAGCCGTTCACAGCGGGCCAGTCCGTCTCGGCGAGCCTCTGTGGCCTCTGCCGCGGCGGAGGCCCGCTGTGTGGACGAGACGCTGCTGTCTGAGCTGCAGACCGCCATCGCCGCCGTGGAGGAGGAGAACGTGCACCTGAAGGACCAGCTGGGTCAGATGAAGGTCTACATGGAGGAGGAGGTGAGCCGGCGCGACTGCCAGATCGCGGCTCTGCGGAGAGAGAACGATGAGCTGCGCGCCAAGCTCGCTGTCCTGCCGTCGCCGTCACCGTCCGCCGCCGTGTCGGAAGAAGACGCCGTCCTCTCCGCCAGGAAGGATTCGCTGATGCTCGAGATGGGCTCGCACATGGAGGCGCAGGAACATGTGATTGTCCACCTGCGGGAGACGATTCGACGATTTCAGGAGCAGACGCGACTCATTGCTGGATTGGAGGAGGAAAATCGCGCCCTGCGGGGGACGATAGAGACTCTCAACTGGCGCACGGACTCGGCCGGCGGCCGGCAGTTGAGTCCGGACGCGGCGCAGGACTCGAACCGCACCTGGGCGAGTTGATGGACGCGAGACTGCGTGTGGCGGCTGAGGCATTACCTGCTGTTTGACAGTGTCTTCGATGGCTGCAATGTTACCTGATGTGGTAGGTATTTCGACAGTGCGAGAGTTGAACTCGCGATTAGTTTCGTGGTAACTACCTTTGATAGATGACTGATAGAGGATAGATAGATGATAGATGCTGCGGTGATGCGAGAAACACGAACGAATATCATCATAGCGACACTAGTGAGTTTAGGATTTCACGACACCTAGCATCTGTTCAACAGGTGCATTGATCTGATCGCTATCCAGTACAAATTGCAACGCATGCTTCCAAAGTGTTTTGTTATATGTGACTGACATTGTTCATGTTGAACCGCGTGTCATAAATATGAAATATATTTAAATTTGACTATTTTTGTCAGTAGGTATTATATAAGTGCCCGTTACACTATTTACATTAGGTATGACAAATATCTTGCTTCAAGTGCTCTGATCTCCGAGGTTATCAAAATATTGTCAAAATGAAGTTCGGTTATCAGCACCCATGGGCAGCATGAGATTGATGCTCACCCGTGTTGCGTCGAACGTGGAATGATTTCACTGATTGGAGGAGTGAGGACATCCTTCCAGCAAGGCAGCAAAGGCTATCTCTGCAAGTGCAGTTTAAAGGCAACTATCCCTATCAGTTGTTAAGCTTTCATTCTACGCAATGGAAACGATGAAATTGTTCAATTTTGGAACCCCGAGGAAATGGTACCGCCCTCCCCCCCCCCCCCCATCGAGCTGATGGTGGACGGCCCCCGACTTGAGAGGCTCGGTAGATGAGAGTTGTGTTGAGTGGTACTCTCTGTCTGTTGGATCAAATCCATGTAGGCTTTGAAATATTATGTACAGTCTTATAATATGGCTGCTGAACCTTCATTCGTCAGTTTCAGAAAAAAGTTCATTCTGCGACCAGTAGCGGCGGAACACCTTCAATCAAGGGGGGGGGGGCACTGCCGACTTTTGGTCCCATTCTTTCAATGCAACGCCCATAGGGCTAATGTTAAAATGTCAAAATCAAAGATGGGCACGGTGCCCCGGTGCCCTCCCCGCTCCGCCGCCTATGTCTGCGACAGGAGTACCTTGGGGGAACCTTAGTCGAGTGTTGGTATCAGTTATGGGTCGTATTTGTATTTCCCACTGAACTGCATTTCCCCACCTCCGTTTAAAAATTAGTAAGCCGTTCTCTTCTGTTTTGTTTCAAATATGACATGGTAGAGATAAAAGCATGGCGCAGTTGAAAGAGAAAAGTGTTCTAAACATAAAATATTGAGAATATTTTCTGCTAGTAAGTAAAACTGACGTTTCTATTCGCGTAGATTCGCACTGCCAGCAGTTTTGAGCTGTCACTGATATTTATGAATAGGCGTGAGTAAAGTGACAGGTAAAGGGTAAAGGGTATAGCTGTGTATTTAGGGCCTTGGGTATAGCAATCAGAGTATATAGAACACCATAGATAGGATAGCAATTAGCAATATAGGTATCTTGAGCAATATAGCCTTGGTATAGCAGCAGCTGCACGATTTTCTTCTTGAAAGCTGAGTGTGGTGAGTGGTTTAACGATTTTACCGATTTTACCATGCTGCTGATGATTTGGCATTTGATGTTTGTCGTCCCACACATCTTATCTTCTTATAACGTTGAGAGGGTAGCCAGCCGCCAGGGTGCTGTACCTACGCGGTACCTAGTAGTAGCAAAGAAGGTGTCACACTTTGACCTGTTTTTTTTTTCAACCAAGGAGCGTGTAGTTTGCATTCTTATAGCAGGCGTCGACTTTTCACAAGCGGTGGCAGCATGTGAGACGCCTGCTATAATAATACCGTGTAGTTCGTCTTCGCGTTGTTCAGTGGAGTCACTCCACTGAACTGCACCAATTTGTTTTGCCGGAGTGGCTTGGTTTGGTTTGGCTCGATCCGACTTGTTTCTTTTTGTTTGAATTGCTCAGCCTATCATGTCTCACGATGTTAGTTTGTGCTAATTTTGTTATGAAAATGCTCATTGGCAGTTCCAGAGAGGTGGTGTTGGATGCTGTCGTTGGGGGCATACCCCAAAAAGCCTGAGAATTAAAAAAAACTCATCAGATTTTGATTCCCTATGCACTGCTGTGCATTTCAAAACCAGCTTTTTCCCATAAAAATTTTTAAGTGTTCATTTTATCCTAGAAAAGCATCAACTTTCTTTAATTTCTGGTGCTATGGGGGAAGTGGGCTGGGGCTTTGCCCCAAATGCCCCCTGGATCCGCCACTGAAAATGTATATGTAATCTGTGAAGATGAAGTCAGAGTGGTACCAATTACCATGTGGTATTGGTAGGTAGTAGGTTTGAGCCTTGAGGTATTGTTTGATTAGATTGTGTTTTTAATCTACTAGGACTTCATCCTCACATTTACTGAAAATGGTGCTTTGAATATCCATATCCCTACTCTTCTCCCCAGGGTCTCAAACATCCCCCAGCATTATAATTGTGGTTAAATTAGGTATAGAGCATGAGATCAAGTTGTTCTGGTGCTTGAGCTGATGGGGATGGTCTGCGTAATGTGGTAGCGGCTGTAGCTTGAAGTCAGTTGGGTGGGCCAGACAGGCAGTGTCCTGATTTGATGAGGATATTAGGCTCTGGTATTTCAAATTCTAAATTCTGCTGTTACCCATAGTTGTTCAATTGAGCAGTAGGTATTGGTCTGAGACTAAGCAGGCAGCAACTAGCAAGCTCTGCTTAGCATGGTCTCTTGCTCTGTTAATCTGCCCATTCAAACATTCAACCTTGTTTAAATAAATCAATGTTTTTTTTTTCTTCAGCTCATAGTGAAAATCATGCACAGAATTCAACATTTTGAGCTGATTGATTTGGAGTGCCTCAAATATTAAGTTTACAGCAATATATAGGCAAACAAGATCTAGCATGTTTCAGCTGGTGTTGAAAAGAAAATCAGTAAAAAAAGGCAAACTTCATCCAGATGTTTGAAATAGGTAGTCATGGGACATGAAAAACTAGGATGATGCTGGCAAAAGGTTCTTGCCTGTCTTTGTTTGAGATATAGATGTTTTGTGTTTTGAAACAAAGTAACCTTAAGTAGGCTCAACCAATAAGTAAATCCTCCCCTTGTTAAAAGATTGTGTTGCTGACAAGTGCCAGCCCATGGCCCCATCATGAGTTATTTGTCCTGTCTGAGCATCCCTACAGATGCTCTAACCTGCCTGGCAGTGTACAATCAACCCATTTTTTGTGCATTGTCAACTGTATTTATCCGAGTTCAGTCAGCGTAGGCATTACACGTTCTATCATACATCAGTAGTACCCAAATCTCCGCGAGGAATACGTATTACGGTTGATATACTGCCGGCGGGAGTAGCGAGAAAAGGAGAAATCGGTGCCGGCGGCGACCTGATCGAGATCCCTCTTCTTGCGGAAGATGTGCGGGTACCCGAGACCGGCGTACCCGAAGTTGGAGTACGCCAGGGGGCTGTAGTACAGGGCAGTCTCGGCAGCGGCCTGATCCAGCTCCCTTCTCTGACGGAGGGTCTCCGCGGGGCTCACATCGCGCCTCTTGCGGAGAAACTGTGGAAGGAAATACGGCGGTGAATACCTGGGCAAGAGCGTTACTATTTTATTGGAATCATTGTACCTCTATAATAGTGAGTTACATTGCCATTTGATCGATCAGTATTGCACGTTTCCTACAAAACGACTTTGTTTATACCCATGCATACCGCCTATGCACACGAACAGGCCTCCATCCGCCACTCACCGCGTAAGGAAGTCCCGTTTTGAGCGAGTAGAGTCCGTCGGCCGGGTTGGCCGTGTACAGAGTACTGGTGATTGGGGAGGCGGTCAGGGTACGCGCCGCTACCGCACACAGCAGGAGAATCTGAAACAGACGGTACAGGGTGTCAGGGGGCGGGATTTGTGGCGGGGAGTTAGCCAGCTCTCCAACAAAGGACACTAGCTCGGCTGGTAGGTACACGTAGAAACAGCTCCTAAGAGGTTTGTGAATATGATTTTGTCATACCGCAATGCTGATTGTAATTTGTGAGAACTAAAATGAGTGATGTTCGAGTATTACTGTCTCAAAAACTGAGAAGCTTTGCCAACGAGCAGCTACCATCAAACACTCTAAAGTATATTGAAGCAGAATTGATCAATATCTCCGACGGCTGTGCCTTACCGCACACTTCATCTTCTCTGAGCGTGGATGGTACCCTGTTGTCGTGGCTGTTGCTGTCCTCAGCTGCCTGGCTCATCTGCCGCCTGCCGCCACCTTTATACGCCGAGTGATGTGGGTGCGGTCCGTCCCACCCTGCAGTCCCACCGGCCAAACCTGAAACGGCACACACGTCGAGATGAGAGGGACGGGTCTTGTTCACCGGATGGTATCAATTGATCTCGAGAGAGGATGGACAGACGGCTCACGGGTTACTAGTCTATTGGCATAAATTATTTGTAAAGCTTAAAACAAATCGTAGTGCTTTAAACGGAATTCCTGAGCACTTTGAACATGTGGCAGCGGTCACGGGTCATAGTAGTCGTGTTTTTCGCAAATGAATAGCCAAAAGGAACTCTGGATACCTACACAAAATGCAAAGCTCATTTCACCGCGTAAAAGTCACCTAGTTATCATTTTATATTTTCCCCCGACTATTTTTAGTTCCGAGCTCCGACCCTTTCAACTCTTGTACCTATTATGAATTCCGCCAGTGTCTGCACTCTGCTCTATCACGTTTGCTTTCTTTGTTTTTCATTCCTGATCCCCCGCCTCTGTGGCCTTGCTCTTGACCGTGCAGAGATAGGAGCGGTCCACCTTCAGTCTGCGTTATCGGTCCGTGTCCCCAGCTGCCCCCTCCCTCCGCCTTGCGTATGGTCGGGGGGAGGGGACAGTGAACTGACCCGTCGACCAGTTTTTGTTGGTGTCGCAGACGTGCTGTCGTTCCACGGAGGAGGGATTCTTTGTTGTTTTCCATCGATATGGGAAGACGAATAATAAGCATAGCTTCAATACATATCGACGGGACAGCGGAACATATGGGAAGCCAAAAACGGAATGTCTTGCTATTGTAGTCGGATGACAGAGTCTTGGGACGAGCATGAACTTATTGCTGAATGCTGTAGCATATGTTGCGTGATCAACGGTTCGATATTTTATCAATTGTATGATTTGCTACCTACTACATACTGCAGTGCTTATAAATGTGATATTTACAAATTTGCCTCCTCGAGAAGCTCATCTAAGGCTTAGCCTCTCATCTTGTCCCCAGCTTGCTTACCTCTTTTTGCTTGACCTCTGACAAAATACGATCTTTCTCAGGCACTGACCAGCGTTAAACACAATGTATACGCTTCTCAGTGGGTTGTACAAACATCTGGTGCAGAAAGATGACTATTTCCTCCTCATCCTTGGACTGGATAATGCTGGAAAGTCGGTAAGATATAATAAAGCTCGGTGACCGAGTTTTCTTTGTTCGCTGATCTGTTTTTTTTTTTATATTTTCATGTCTATTATTTCCAATGTTCATGCATTCTCTGCCACATTCTGTCATGTTACATCTAACAGTGTTCTTCCCTGACCGCAGACCTACTTGGAGGCGGCCAAGACAAAGTTCAAGAAGGACTACAAGAGTCTGAACGCGTCCAAGATCACTACCACAGTGGGTCTGAATATTGGACAGGTGGATGTCTCTGGAATCCGAATCAACTTCTGGGACCTGGGCGGCCAGGAGGACCTCCAGAGTCTCTGGGACAAGGTGGGAACGGCTGATGTGAGGGGTGGGACAGGCTGATGGGACGAGGTGGGACAGGGTGGAGCGGGCCGACGGTACACGGTGCGACGGGCTGATGAGAAGTTTGGGACGTCCCGAATTGACACTGTGTGACTGTGGGAATGGGCTAGGGGTTTCAAGTGGCTGATCATAAATATTTTATCAATAAAATCAGAATCGGATCAAGCGAGGAAAATGTATGTAAGTTATTTAACTCCATCATGTGGCGAGTTCGCGGCCGGCGAGCATCGCCTTTTTAACGCTTTCTCCGAGTATGACGGTTGCCTCTGTTTCCAGTATTACGCCGAGTGTCACGCTGTGATTTACGTCGTGACTCTTTGTCTGTGTTTTCAGTATTACGCCGAGTGTCACGCCGTGATTTACGTGGTGGACTCGGCTGACCGGGAGCGAATGGACGAGTCCAAAGAGGTGTTTGGTGAGTGAGGGCGCTCGATAGAAAAGGGACTTTTACTGACATTTCTAGTGTTGCCATTTGCTACACTTCAGAGCCAACGTTCAGTGAACATGATTTTTGATATCATTGACTTTTTGGTTCATTTGTTATATTATTCTCTTAGAGTATTTTCTGAAAACATAAACACAGGGCATTCTCATTTGGTATTGTCATCTAGTGTTCAACAGTGATAAATTTACTGTATTCTTGCATTCCTGCTACATGTCGCCCAATGACCTTGAACGATCGGTGAACTCTTGTCCCGATTTCTTTCCTCCTCGGCCCTCAGACCGAGTGATCGGCTCGGAGCACCTGATCGGCGTGCCGCTGTTCTACACATGTGACCCCTCCTTTGACCTCTGACCCGTGACCTCTCCCCTCCCCGGCCCTCAGACCGAGTGATCGGCTCGGAGCACCTGAGCGGCGTGCCGCTGTTCTACATATGTGACCCGTCCTTTGACCTCAGACCTGTGACCTTCCCCTCCCCGGCCCTCAGACCGAGTGATCGGCTCGGAGCACCTGATCGGCGTGCCGCTGCTCGTGCTGGCCAACAAACAGGATATTCCCGACTGTATGGGCGTGCGGGAGGTGAAGCCCATCTTCAACCAGAGCGCCCACCTGATCGGACGCAGGGACTGCATGGTGATGCCCGTCTCGGCGCTCCACGGGTGAGTGGGGTTTTGCTTTGTTAGGACTTTAGGTTCTTTCGGCCTAAAGAGACCATTGCAGAGCTGTGGGATGATAGGATAGAGTGTAGACATTAGGCTGTGCGATCCACTGACAGTGAGCCGCGGAGGCGGGACCGTCCCGGTGGAACCGGATTACCCCGTTGGGACAGTCCGCCCGCCTCCAAAACAGTCACCTCGGAGAGGGTTTACAGGTCCTGGTATGGACCTTCCCTCATTCACCGGTGGTCTGGTGGGGTGACCGCCAGTCCGGAAAGGACGTGTGAGGGGATGCGGAAGGGTTTGTTCTGAAGATAGTGAGGACGGATGTGAGGAGGGGGGGGGGGCTAGAGATAGGGCGCTGCCGTGGGGAGAGGTGATAGAGGGTTGGAGAGCGCAACCGCCATCTGGTAGCAGAAGGTTCACCGATGAGATTCCGGAATGCTTTGGATCTATCCTCGCTTTGATGACTACATCAGTAATATACGTGACGTGTATCTTGTATTTATTTAGATGCAGTTGGTGATGCTACATAGATGATGTATGCTGAAACAGGAAAGTTTGCATTTTACTGCTGTGAGCTAAGTTCTTATACACATGCCGTTCTACAGTCGAAAGCTCGAAACTATTTCACCGTAGCCAGATGGCTCTACGTGTCTCGCACAGTTCCCGTGTTTCCCGGTAGGGGGATAAGGCGTAGCGGGCAGCAGCTCAGTCCGACATTTACTTGTGCCAGTCTGAATTGATTTGATAGGCGAATGATATCTCACTGGTCTTCTGTATTGTTGTAGGATCATCTGCTTTCATTTATGGACCGATTAAGTCTTCAACATTCTCAGCACAGCTACCACGATGTGTCGGACAAGTTTCACCCCTACTGCCTGATCCACCCCCATACCTTCTCCTCCACCTGACCTTACGGTGGTAAATTATATCTGTAAAAGTCATCTGTTGCTGCTCCCCTCATGTTCCTCCAACTGACCGTACCCCACGGGCGGCTACCCCGGCCACCTCTGCAGGGATGGCGTCCACGAGGGGATCGACTGGCTGGTGGAGTGTGTCAAACGAAACGCGGCCAACCGACCTCCGAAGGACGCAGACTTCTCATAGTGAGGCGTGAGGACCGGGGAATATGGGGAGGGATGATTTATAAACACTGAACTATGTGGTTGGAGTGAACCATGGGTGTATGCTTGGAATATTCTATATGTATGTATGGGTGCGTCGGTCTCCATGTGTGTGAATGCCATGCGTGGATTTTTTCAAGGAGGCAAGGCTGCTCGTGTGTGGCGAAGAGATGAATGAAAATATTTTAATGTGCATATTTATTCACTGATTTGTGCTGTTCGTCAAATCAGTATTGTATCTCATGCTGGTGAGTTGTTATTACGTGCATCATGCATGCACTCGTCGTTAGTTTCACTGTCGTTTTGTGTATTGGTGACCGTTCAGTTGGTTTGTGCCCAACACATGGTGTTCAATGCGTATGATAAGTGACATGAGCTCGTTTTAATTCGAGTTAGTATTTATTTTATTGTCCTCGAAATTATCTGCGCACTAGGACATATTTGTTTTGCCATGGTCGGCGGACCTTGTGGCATGTTACCGTAAGCATGCAATTTATTCCATAAGTAACAAAGATACGCCAGCGTACCTGGGTAACTGTCGTGCATGACATTGACTGCTTGTATGTATTTGTACATCCGTATATTCTCTTGGCGTTTCTCTTTGTGAACTTCGTGGATTTCGCGAATGCTTCGATATCGTACCAGCAAAAATGCAAAAAATGGCTTATTTATTCTCGTCATTAATAGGGCTTCACAAACTCAATCCGTTACGATGATCTGATAATCGTCATAATTTTTGTTTACCTAAATATGAACGGAACCCGCTTTTATGTCGTCTGGTAAAGGAAGGGGTCCAGCTTTACATTGCTATTGGAGGGACACGGGGTTATTTTAGTGATTCAAAAGCCGCCGCCTTTCTATCACCTCACTGGTGCACATGGTGCAATCGTTCACCAACAGATAATGGCACGTCATAGCTGACCCTGGAGGATAATGCGCTCTTAGCGTGCATTCTGTACGTTCACCGTTGTATTTATACGGAGAATGCAAGCCACGAGGAACCGACGTTTGATAACATGGATACGTTGGTCTGTCGTTAGATGTGCATGTGAAAAATACATGTATTTTTGTACGGCTGCTGGTGTGTGTCCTTTGGATAGTCGTTTCGATACTGAGAAGTGATGGTGATTGGTGGTGACTGGGTTGAGACTTGAGAGGGGAAGGCGGGTGGGATGGCCGGGTGAAATGACCGATATAGTATACTGAACGATGCATGCTATATTTTATCCAGTTCCGTGCAGATAAATATCGTGAATAGTATTCATATTGGGGCATGCCCGTTACCTTTATCTTCTACCCATCCACCGATCGCCATTCTGGCTACTAATCGAAGCTCTGTGGCGAAAGTTTATTGTGCCCTAACCGGGAGCGGGGTCCACCCAAGAACCAATGACGTCAGATGACCTGTTTACTCCGACTCGGCTATTATAGCAGCGCAGATCGTACCGATAGTGGATGATCGACCTGAGCAGCGGCCCGGTTCGAGCTGCCGCGCCCGGGTGGGTGGGCCGGGGCCGCATCAGTGGCGCTGCGGTGGTACCGGGATATCGGGGGTCTGGGAGTCCGACTTGACTGGGAAAGGATTTGTCAAACTTAGGGGACTTGCTTTATGCTCATCCAGCGGATGTTTGAGAGGTGTGTCTGATGTAAACGTGGAGATTATTGATGAGTGGTGGAGGTCAAAGGAACAATTGAAAATCGTCGGGCCGGCGATTTTTTCATGCTATTTTTTCGGGATAATTGACGCCGGGAGCACCCTGTTCCCTAAAATCGGCGAGGCGCCAGCGAACGACTCTTTAATATCTTATTTATGGAACTGATGCAGAAACACACCGGATATTTGAATCAATTTAATTAATTTATTTATCTAGGTATTTTAACAGGCATTTCTACCATCTGGAATTGTAGGTGAATGAATTTGACTGATACGCTTAACAACACACCTCCCCAGGGGCGCGGGAACTACTTTCCGACTGGGGGGGGGGGGGGGGCACACCATAATAAAGATCAACCTAGGGTACCCCCAAATTTAGTTTTCTCACCGGTTTTAGGCCACTTATTTTTCACCCCTCGGCTTTTTCAACAAAAAAGAAAACATTTGCAAAAAAAAGTGTAGTATTCTGTCTCAAAGCTGTGGGGGCACCGCCCCCCCCCCCCACGGCCCCAGAGTTGGGGAGGGGGGCAAGCTGCCCCCACTGTCCCCCGGCTCCCGCGCCTATGCACCTCCCAACTTTCCATGAGTGTGATGCCGCCCTCCACGCGACATGCTTCGGCAGTCTGCACGTGCGCGTTGACCTCACGCACCTCATCCCTGACCTACGGCAACCTTTCGATGTTCGGTTCGTCCACTCCACCGGCACCGCACATGCCGTTCCATCCCTTCCCTGCAGTGCATGGCTCACTCTCCTGCATCCAACCGACTCCACTCGGGTCAGCTCTCTGACCTCCCCGGCCCAGCTTCTCACCTCACACGATCACCACACTCTGTCCCTCCCCTCCTCTCTCCTCCCGCCGCGCTCGCCAACAATAAACCCCACCAACCCCGGCCCGACTGCGGCGGCGGCCGGCCGGCGAAGGCGACGATCCCGTTGTATTGCCTGACTTGCCAAGTTGGTGCGGTGCGTGCGCGGGGTCGCAGTGGCTATTCGTCGTTCAGTAGATGGTGTTTTCAGTGATAGTGACGATTATATGCGTGTATGTGCGTGTGTGAGCGTGGTGTGCGATTTTACGAAGCGCGTTTCCCGCCGGAGGCAGCGGCTCTGGACTGAGGGATCAGCTGATCGCAGGTAGGTGACCGCGCCGTGGTGCGCCCCAGTTCCGAACCGGCAGGTCAGGCCGTGTCCGGTCGGCCGGTCGGTCGCTCGGTCAGGCAACTGCTAGGCCCCAGAGTCAGACTGCTAACCCCGCAGAGGTCACACATGCCGTACTCTGCTAGACAGGAAGTCGGGGTGACGGCTGTGCACGGGGTGGGCTATTTGCGTGCCCCGTGCACCGTCTGTGTGTGCACTGTGCAGACAGACGCAGCGAGGCGCGAATTATGTTGCAGGGGTGGGGAGCGTCTCATGCCATGGGCGCATTCCCAGACACCTGGTCCCAGGGGCATCGCTTGTCTAGTTTGAAATTAGAGCGAGCAGCGTCGAGAAGCATCTCATTCTCGACGCTGCCTTTTCAATGCAGAAGCTCCTGTAAATGTCGCATGCAGCCAACAAAGACCAAATGGGTTCCAAAGCTCATTCTTGCCCTTCGCAGTATGGAGTGCGAAGAAAGACGCGCGATCCATCCGCGATCCAGTCCCTATGGAAACACCCACGGGCGTCACTACGAAATTTATTGTTAGGGCTCTAATGGCTAATTTCGGGATACCAAAGCCATTCTTACCATGCACCGCCATAGGGTTAATGTTAAAATTCTGAAATTGTTGCTAGGGCTCGGGACCTACCAAGCCTATGCAAAACGACACCCATGGAAACACCCCCTGTCAACCCTAAAACGCTCAACAGTGGGCTCAGGTCAAGGCCAACTCAACCTTTACAATCCTCTCGTTAAACGGGACAATTTTCGTTGGTCACGTGTAAATTACGGTCCGGGCCGGCTAAGCGATGCCTGGGAACCGGGGTCCTTGCAGTGTAATGGCTGCGATTATTAGGTGCCGGAAGGCCTGGAGATGGACCAAACCACAATGCGTGCCACCGTGACCGTGTCTTGCAATTTCCTTTGTTTGGTTTGCAATTGCATTCATATTGCATTCATATTGATTGTCTGTTATATGCCGATGATGTAAAGCTCTTCCACCGCGTAGAATCTACTGAAGATGTTGCCGCCCTACAGAGGGATATAGACCGACTATGTGGCTGGGCTAAAACCTGGAAGCTAAAACTCAACACGAGCAAATGTCAGTGTATAACATTTACACTCAAGTCATCTCCTGTTCGCGCCGTATACAGCCTGGATAGTCATGAGCTTACTCGCTGTCATGAGGTGCGTGATCTGGGTGTTATATTGGACGCGAAGCTTACGTTTGCTCAGCATGTCGATGTGACCGTGCGGAAATGCAAGAAAATGTTGGGGATGATTATGCGAGGTGTCCAACTGCCTCGGTGTCCCCGGCGGGTCAAGTTTGCTGTTTGACCATAGTGCGCTGATCGCCGCGTACAATGCCCATGTTCGCTCCATTGCTGAGTATGGCAGCGTTGTGTGGAGTGGCGCAGCAGTAACACATCTGGCGCGGCTCGAGCGCATGCAGCATCGCTTCTTGTCTTGGCTGGCATCCAACACCCACGGTCGCGACCTGCCCATGAGTTATGAGACGCTTCTTGTTCGATTTGGCATGTGTTCTTTGAAATCGCGCTTTATTCAAGCCGATCTCCGCCTGGTTTTGGGATTGCACCATGGACGGATCGACTGTCCTCACCTTCTGAGTCTGTTTGGTCTGGCGGTCCCTAACAGACGTTCTCGGCAGCCAGCACTGTTTCATGTCGCATTCGGCAGAGTGAACACTGTAAAGTCGGGACTTTTCATTCGCATTCCTGTGCTATGCAACAATTTTCTACAGAAAATTCCGAATGCAGATATGTTGGCTCCGTCGAACTGCATCCATTCTGATGTGTGTGATTTCGCTCGTTCTCAGGGTGCTTACATCTGAGACAATGTATCGTGCTTTGTAGTAGTATGTAGTGTTTTTTTTTTTTTAAATATTTTATGGGCATGACTGCCACTGTAAATGGGCCGCTGGGCTGGGTCTGTGGTTGGCTTGGCACAATACACAAATACACAAATACACAAATATTGCTGGCAAACGATGAAGGACCATGGAGCCTTGAAATGAAAACGCCACGGAGCTTGCTCGCATCGTCATGCTGGAAGGCTGACAGCCCTGAACGCATACATGAATGTTTTCGTGCAAGAAAACCTTGGATCTATATGAATTTCCGGTGTACCTGACATCCTGTGTCATGGAGTTACTGCCATTCGTCTGCAATTTGGTTCTGGTCGTCAGAACGGAGCTTCTGCCCCTCCCTCCCCCCCGCTGCAGTTGCAGGGGGAAATGCTAATCTTTGCTCTTGCCAGGCGCCAATAATTATAATGTTTGCCTTGTAAACGTTACGTTTACCTATGATGTCCTTCAAATTGTAGCGTAGAAGTTGAATCATGCTCTAAAATTGTTCAGTAGGGCTTCAAAGTGATGATATAAGAACTCCCTATTGTATTATATACCTCGCATATCATGTCAGCTCCACCTTATTTGCTGTTTCTATTACAATTCTCAAGACATTATGTTCGTCTGGCGCCACTAATCTTGACACCAGTCGTTTTGTTATTTGTAACGTCAATGCTCAGACTTGTTATTTAAATCGCGGCACTGCACAGATGTGTATCCAGGTTTAAAAGCCAGCATCAAGGCCGTCCTGTTTGGCTGCATTCCCGCTTCGTTGAAGGTTTCAGGTGGGGCGATACCGTTCCGTATCGGATACCGGGCGCACGCACGATATTATCACGTTCCTTTTCAGTACGACGGAATAAGTCACCCGCCCCTCTCTCCTCTCTCTCTCTCTCCCTCTCCCCCTCTCCCTCCCTCCATTCCTCTCTCGCACCCTCTCTTTCTTTCTTCCTCCCTTCCTCCCTTCCTCCCTTCCTCCCTCCCTCCCTCTCTCCCTCCCTCCCTCCATACCGTCCTCTCTCTCTCTCTTCTCTCTCTCTCTCTCTCTCTCTCTCTCTCTCTCTCTCTCTCTCTCTCTCTCTCTCTCTCTCTCTCGTGTTCCCTCTTTCTCCGCTTTTCAAATCATTCTTCATTGAGCCGTAGGTACTATCTACATAGACAGTACCTGGAAGGCCTACAAGTTGGTAGCCATCTTCGCATGCCGGGCCGTAGTATTTGAATAATTAATTACCCATAAACCCCTTCAACGGATGGCAGCATCGGTGCGTTTTGTTTCTGTTTGTCATTGCACATCTCAAACTATCAATCAACGCTTCGGCACACACCGGATTAGAAAGCATGGGAACGAGTACCATTAGTGGACAATTCATCTCTTCCACTCGTGGCCGCTCACCACACAGGTTATGCATTGAGCGGTCGA